ACATACATACATACATACATACATACATACATACATACATACATACACACATACAAACACACACTGCATAATTACATACATACATACATACATACATAACGTAAGACAAGATAAGATAACATAATATAAAATAACATTCCGTTCCATTCCATTGCGTTACATTACATTACATGACATTACATTACATAAACTATTTTACAACATTACATAGCACTACATAACATAACATTACACTACATTACAGTACATAAATACAAACAATTATATATCCAGCCTTATGTGGAGTGTCATACCTAAAAATGCAACTGAACGCACCGAACGTACAAACAATGTATATGCGTGATTTCGCGTGTAGTGTGAACTGACAACTGAGTGTGCGCACATGCGTGAACCTGGGGCATCACAACTGAAGTTTGAGAAGGTGGTGCCCGGGATGTATACTAGGCTGGCACCAAAAACGGACCGTTGCAAATCTGTCGACCGAACACAGTCAAACACTCTGCCGCGATTCCAAATTCCAAGGTTGCATTGCCTCAAAAGAAAAAATTGTAATCTCGTTCGTATTCCACGGTTCATGCATGTCATGCCAGGCACCACTTGCATTTCCATATATACATATAGAGAATATATATATATATATAGAGAGAGATTGGGATGTTCACATGTCATTTGAGGACTTTCCCATGTCACGTTGTATGCATTTCGCATGCATCGTGTTTTGTGTGTGTTTCTGCTGCGGGCGCTGGTCTCTATGAATCCAAACAAGGGGTGGAACATGGCGCCCACATCCAAATCACCCGTAACATTCTCATCAACCTGTCTACGACCCGGGGCCGGGGCCTCGGGGGGTCGAAACCCCAAACATCCCAAAACCCGAGTGTGAACACCCGAGTGTGAACACCGTTCGGTGAAATGTTTCAAGATGTTTCTGGGTACACTTCGGGGATCGCCACACGTTCAATAACTGTTCATGATCTTGCCTGAAGTCGAAAAGTATTTACAAGCAAACACCAGATGTGACAGTGGGAAAACCCTACTCTAAAGGCACGCAACTCCGAACTGCTGGTACTTTGGTCACTAAGCCTTTTCAACATGGTGATTTGTTACCCCAACCAGCTAGCGACGTCCGATACGGTGAATCCACTCAGCTACGGTGAGCCCACTCGACTCCTCTTCGTCTAGGCTTCGGACGTTGTCCACGTCTGGGTTGGTAAAGGCATAGCCAGCAGCTCCTCCTGTGACATGGAGACTATGTGCCATTGGACGGCCAGGCATTCTTGGAATGACTGGCAGTCGCCTGCTGAATTTCTGAATGGCATCTTGCGAGAAGTCTGTACCATGCCACAAAAAGTAGATACACATCAAATGACGCAGGATGTACAAATTAACTTCGAGTGATCCCCACCATGACACTTTCAATCATTTGTCTTCATGCCATGGTGGGAAGCATGTTGCCACGGTCTGAGGTTTTGTGGTTCTCGACTTTGCTTGTGGGTCTTCGGGCTTGGGGCTGTTGTTTACATGTTGGGGAGCTCGCGTCGGGGTGCTGCCAGGGTCGCCAGCTGGCATCCAAAAGTGCAACCCTGTGACCACCTGCCACACACACACACGAGATTATATTGTGTTTGTGTTTGTGGCTGTGCTGTGGGCTGTGTGTTGTCTGTTGTGTGGGCGCTTGCTGTTGAGGTCCGTCAGTGCCCACTGCGATCTGACGCTTGCTGTTGAGGCCCGGGAGTGCCCACTGCGATCTGGCGCTTGCTGTTGAAGTCCAGGATTACACACTGCCATCTGGAGCTTGCTGTTGAATTCCAGGTGTGCCCACTGCGATCTGACGCTTGCTGTTGAGGCCTGGGAGTGCCCACTGCGATCTGGCGCTTGCTGTTGACACTGCGATCTGGCCTTGTCTCTTGAGGTCCGGCAGTGCCCACTGTGAACTGGCCTATGCTGGTCTTTGAGGAGTTGCGGGACCTCTCTTAAAAATCTAACAACCCTCATCTGAACCTGACAGGCGGGAAAACATACCACCAAAATGCCCTCAGGTTGCAATGCAGGTGGTACGCGCGCGATGTACGCGTTTTTTGGCGGCCAACCGGGTGGCGCACCGATGGCAATGGAGGTGAGGCGATTGAAGCCTTTCGATGCGACGACGATCGGTAGACGGTCGAGACAAGTCGAAGTCGAGACTCGGGGCCGCATCAAATCACTCGAAAAGGTTCTCAGCAAACCTGATCACACCAGGACCCGACTCGTTCGGGGTGTCTATTTATAGCCGCTTAGCTGTGATTGGGGGTGTTCATTAACCACCCTTGAGGGTCCTGATTATATAGAATTAATTAGAATTATATTATATATATATGGATCTATCATCCACTTCCACTCTCTTTTCACCGGCGCTGTGTTCGTTTCTCGTTTCAGGCCGTCGACCCCAACCGGTGGAGCCGTGAAGCGGCTCGTGGACCGTGGACCCGTTCACCCGGTCTCTCGCATGCGACCGTCACGAGACAGAAGAGCGGTCTGGAGCCGGTCTGAGACGTTTCGACTTCTCCATTCTATCTGAAATAGAATGAAGGACAAGGTGAACTAAGGACATGAACTAAGGTTAACTAAGTTAGTTCACTAAGGTTTTTATCTTACAACAAAGGTAAAAGGTGAACTAAGGACATGAACTAAGGACAGTCTTGTGATAATGGTCATCCCTCTTGAAATGGCAGAGACGACCGGCCTTCCTCCTTCACACAGTAAAACAGTTATTATATAATGTATTGGAAACCGTTTCTATCTGCTGCTATTTGGAGAGCTACCATTGACCATTCTGTGCTGAGCCAGCGACCAAAACTACTGTATTTGGACGCTACCATGTGCGAACACATCGACAACAACTTCTTAGGCAAAAAAACACAACACATGCCAAGTTTGCAATCGTCACCAGGTACAAAATGGTACCAATGTGAGGTCCTCTCAAGCAACACCCCGACGGATGCCCCGGCGACGCATGCCCTTCTCTGACCCAGGATGTCCTTCACTTATCTATGTTTGAGCAAGGTTGTCCCCAACAAAGGTTTCTTGAGTATTGGGACAACTTGTGGCTTCTTGAGTATTCATCAGGCTGATGGCTCTATGTTGGTGTTATTGAAGCAGTTTGATGCCACAGGCTCTATGTTTGAGTATTCATCAGGCTTCTTGTGGCCATTACGGTCACATCCCCAGAGTCAAATTCCACAGCGCAAACGCTTGGCCTTGCATACTAAAGATCATGCGCATCGTCATGCCGGGGATCTTGAATTCGTTCAAAGTTCGATGTAAGGATGGTTTTGTTCAGAACTCCGGTGGGCATCCCGTCCACTTCCCCTGATGTCCGTTGGAGGTCTTGAGCTGTTTTGAAATCTGAAGCTGCTGCTCTGCCCCGTTTCTTGTCTTCCATTCCTGGTTTGGCCTCCTCTTTTTGAGCCACATGCCTTACCGTGCGCCAGATGGTACAACATTTGGAGAGCTGAGCAATGAATTGGGAGAGTCACCTTGCCCAAGGATTCCAATGGCATAGAAAGCCACGATTTGCTACTATCTGCTCTGAAAAATACAATACTCCACCAAACAAACCAATCATATACCAAGTGCTACACCGGACGCCTAAAACCGCTCTTCTAACGTGCTCCACCGAGGCGAGGCGCGAACAGTAGTCGAGGCTGCTGGAGGCCGCTCTGACAGTGTTTGTTGTCTTTGCTCAAAGTACTTGAAACATCGCTACCTATTAAGGGGGGGGGGCCCAAAAAAAAATTAGTTATATTTTTTTTGGGGGGGGGGGGTCCTGGTTTGACACCTCAGATATGTAAGCTTACATTTTTTAAAACAGACGTAGAAAATGTAACCTTACATTTTTCCAACATATACGTAAAAAATGTAAGCTTACATTTTCTACGTCTGCAATGCAAGACACAGCAACGCACAGCAATATTGCACCAAATTGCACAAGGCTGCAACAGATACAAGTCTGGCAAGTCATCTCTGTTTTCGCGCGGATGGAACGTCTTTGTTGTCTAGCTGGACGTGCTTTGCACATCAACAAACCCCATCACACCCCTGCATAGCGACCACGCACTATGAATACCCTTTGAGAACTCTTCAACCAAGACACAAATGGCTAAAGTTCTTGGTTCAAGCATCCGTTAACCGTTCTCATTGGAAAAGCTGCTTGAATTAGTCGGCCAGCAATGATTCTGGAACAAGCTGGTCAACTTTACGAATGAATTCCTTCAACTTTTGGTGACCAAGATCAGATCCATTCTCCATCTTCTTGCCAGGGATGAACCTCAGAAAGTACCGTACTATCGATCACGGGGATCTAGATATCCACCAAATCATCCGAAAACATTCAAAAAAGATCAAACACACAGAAAAAACAACCAAAAAACATTAAATGTGTTTGATGTCTTTGGCATGAGAAGCTCACAGAGTTTGTGGAAAACACATTGGCTGTGTAACTTCTTGTCGTTACTCTTGTCTCCTGTGACCGCCACAGTCTCAAAGTACAAGGCCATTCGCACTACAAACGCGGTCCAGCGATGTAGCTTCTTACCGATCTTGTAGTAGCCCTCGTCTCTCAAAAGCTCAATGTTGTTTTTCTTGTACACGTCCACAAGTTTCACAAAGAAACTCTTGAGGTGTTTCTGACCTTGTGGACCTTTGGGGAAGTCAAGTGAGGTGAACCCTTCAAAGTTTGAAGCACTCTGCGCTGAAGACTTGTCTTCGATTGCGGCATTGACTTGCTTCTGCTTTGGAAGGAAAACCGCCAGCGGGTTCACTTTTCCATCATCTATGTCGCGAATCAGTTCCATGGCTTTGTCACTGAAGCCTAGGAACAGCTTTCCGTTCTTCTCTCCGCTCTTTCCGATGGTCATTTCAAAGATCACGTCCTGACAGGGCGTAACCAAGCGAGCTGGCGACAAAGCTGAGACCACATATGATCCCCCTTCGAGATGCTCAAGCTCTACCACCAGAAGCCTGGCAACGGATTCTGCGGGAGCATGGAACCCCAAGCTCTTTGAAACCTTCAGGTGTCTGGGCGCAGCCGTATCCTTCACATTCACCACGCTTCCGCGGTAGATAGCAAAGACCAAGCACAGCTTGAACTTCAAGATTCCACCCAAGTCAACCTTGCAAAGAACCACTTGAGGGTGTTCACTGCACATGGGGCGGAACACATTGCATACATGCACGTTGCCGTCCTCATTGGAATCAGGATACTCAATGGCGACCTTTGACACAAAGCTGGTTTGCGCCGCCATCCATTGGAACATTCTGGAGCTTTTGGCGGCTGTCAGCTTGTTGAATTGGCGAGCTTTGGCGAGAGCTGAGACCAAGGCATTGTGTTTGTTTTCCTTCTGGTGTACACCTCGAACTTGGGCCTTTGACCTCATCAGAAAAAAAAGTAAGCTAGATTTCTGGTAGGTCATGAGGCAACCCAGTTCTACAGTTTTGGTTGTTGCCTGGGGGCTGTTGTCATACATTATCTCTGTTGGCTAGGATGTTTTCTTTTTTTAGCTTTAGACGTGAGATAGG